TTTATATTATTTTATTTTCTTCAAGCATCATATTAAATGTCAATGAGATATTTTGGTGAGATTAGATAGAGCATATGCCTAAGTACTGTGTCAAATTTAAATACCATCAAGATAGCCTCATGAACTCCAGTTTGAAATCAAATTTTAGAAAATGATTGTTTATTATTTAAAATTAGCTGGAGATCAATAGGGCTGACTTGGGTGGTAAGTTTCAAGTTGACATGATTATTGTCTTGTTACCAAACTCGTTCGATTCTGTTATAGTGAACTAAATAAGGAATCAGTTTGAGTTCACACTCGCTGATATTCTTATAGAATTGGTAACAGATGAAGGGATAATCAAGAGTATGGGCGTTCCTATCAATCTAACCTAGTCTATACCATCTTCTTCTAGGCCCAAGTGGACGGGCAAAGCAAAGAAGAAGGATGATAATAGGACTAGGCTAGCACAAAACATAGGTATCTAAAAGGTTAAAGGGAATAAGGCAGTGTATGTTGAGGGCGAATGAAACTGTTTCTTTTGCCGTTAACTAAGACACTAAAGGACAAACTGTCTAAGCAATGACGTGGCATAGGAAAATATATATTTAATCATTGAGCCATGTTATGTGGTTGTATCTATTGATTCCTGATAGATAGATTCTGGAGCCACTAAACATGTTTGCAATTTATTGTAAGGATTTCAGGAATCCAGAAGCCTTGATGATATGGATATATATTTATCTTTTGACCTGATGCCAAGATTGTAGTTAAGTCAGTGGGAGTATTACATCTGAAATTAGAGAGTATGAGGATATTAGTATTAGAGAACTATTTTTATGCACAGAAGTGAAACGCAATCTCATTCTTATTTCACTTTTGGCTTATAAAAACTAGATCGTTATTTTGTAAAACTGGTTTTATAAAATTGAATAGATATGCGATTGCTTCTGGTGCATTGAAAGATGGTTAATATACTATAATCACAAGCTCTTAAGATTTGCAGGATGTAGAAACTAATGTTGCATCTTCTAGATTGAATGTTAAGAGAACATTTGTTATTTCTGACTCATTGTATTTTTGGTGTCTATTTTTGGGTTATAATCAATCAAAATGAGATTTAAAGATTGGTTAAAAAAGGTTTATTACCTAGTGAGGCAGAGGAGCCTAAACCAAACTTGTGAATCTTGTTTTGAAGGATAGATAACTCTAAGGGCTTAATCAGCCAAATGAAATAGATATAAAGAACAATTGGAGTCGGTACACACGTACACGTGTAGTCTTATGAACATCCAATCAAGATTACTCACGTTTTGGATAAATTTACCTGTTGCGACACAAGTCTTATACTTTTGGTATATTCCGAGAGGGTCAAGACTGATGTGGAGCACAGATTAGGTAAACTTATCAAGACACTTCGATCTGATCGAGTATTTGAGTATTTCTTGGGATAGTGCAAAGACTATATCGTCAATAAGGGTGTTGTGTACCAGTTTTCCGCAATTGACGCTAAATTAATTTAGGTGTCAAATAGGAATAACAGAATTCCACTTAACATGGTTAGATCTATGATCAGTAATGCCACATTATCTCTTTCATTTAAGAGTTTAGCGTTAATGACATCGATACGCATTATGAACTGCATTCCATCTTAGTCTGTCTCAAGGATACCGTTGAGCTGTGTTTTTGACTAAATATTAGTTTGAATCATATGCACATATGGGGTAGTCTTGCACATGTGCGTTTGATATGGACAAGTAAGTTGGAATCAGATCATAGGCATGCTAGATTTGATAGCTACTCTAAATGTCACTAGGATGGATTATTTTATGATCTCAAAGATAAAAGTTGATTGTTTTCACTCACTGTTTATCTATAGGAGAATCATATTATGAATCACATACCTAGTAGCATAATGTTAGAGAATTTGGTATGAGTACCAGATGTACCACATGTGAACACACCTATTATAGAGATTGAGAATAATATATGAATTCCCTATTGATGCGTTAGCATCATCTACTACACAGATTCTTGCATCGGTACATTGATGTAGTGGGAGGATTATCATCCAATTCGACAGAATCATGTTTTTAGGTGAGACCATTATGGACATCCCTGTTAAACATGAGTTGGACCCAGTAAGCTACACGGAAGCGTGAACCGATGTGGATACAGATCGTTTTGGTGAGTTACTATGAAATCAGAGTTGGAATCTATGTATTCTAATAAATTCTGGGATCTTGTAGAACTTTCTAGTAGGGTGATTCCTATGGAAGGCAAGTTAATCTACAAAAAGATACCAGAAGATTTCTTAGTGAATAAATCATGAGTGTACAAGGGAATGTCATCATTTTTCTTAATTCTATATATTGATGACATCCTACTCATTTATAATGACGTGGAAGTTTTGTCATCAATTAAAAGGTAGTTGTTCAATTACTTTTAAATGAAGGATTTTCAAGATGTAAGCTATATTCCTAGGATCAAGCTTTTGCAAGATCAGGTTAAAAGGAAAATAGGCTTATCTTAATAATCCTACATTGATAAAGTTTTGACCAGGTTTGGTATGCATAACTCAAAGAATGAGTTCTTGCTTTATTGATATGGATCGCTCTCTCTAGTAAGTAGTTTTTCAAGACTAGCAGAGGAGATTGAGCAAATGAGACTGGAACAATATGTTTCGGCATATGAGAGTCTCATATATGCCATGGTCTATACCAAACAGGACATCCGCTACATAGTAGGGATAGTCAGTAGAGATCAGTCCAATACTGGACTTGACAACTGGTCTATTGTGAAAAATATCATTAAGTACCTAAGGAGAATCAATGATATCATACTCATTTATGGATGTGATGATATGGTCCTAGTCAGGTATGCTAGTTCTGATTTTCAATCAGAAGTAGATACTATGAGGTTCATGACTTAGTGTATGTTCACTTAATGGAAGGGAAATCAGTTGGTAGATTGTCAAGCAGATTTCAACTATTGACTCAAACCTGCAGGTGGAATATATTGCAGCCTTAAAGGTGGCAATATAAGCCTATTGGTTTGATCTCACTGATTTAGAGGTTGTGGAGCATACTAGCCTGCCTATCGAGCTATATTGCGACAATAGTGCAGAAGTAGTCCAAACCAATGACCCAAGGTTCCATAGATGAACAAAATACACTGATAGGAAGTATCATGTTCTACATGATATTATCCGGCAAGAAAATGTACTTGTAGCTAGAACATTGCATTGGAACACAACTTTGTTGATCCATTATCAAAGGTGTCATTGATCAATAATTTTGATCATCATCTGGATAACATTGGAGTTAGGTGCAATTTGAATTGGCTATGAGGGCAAGTGGGAGCTGTTGGGATTTATATGCCCTGGCATAGCAAATTCCTATTTGGATTAATTGACATATGTTCCTGACGTTTCTGAAATATTTATATTTTATACAATTGGTGAATTCAATGTATTATATTTCGATTCACTATGAAATTGATAGTATCCATGTAATTACAAGAAATATTTATGTATATGTATGTGATGGCAATCAATGCATGATATATAAATAGTAATTATAAATTGTTCATAGTCGGTAATTATGGATGGACTCATAATTAATTAAGACTTGAACTGGATCCGCGTTAGGTTGAGATATATTGCGAGAGCCGTCGTATGCAATTACTCCCTATCACCGTCATGGCATTTGACTCTTAAGCATGAGAAAAGTATAGACTCTTTTATTAATTAATAATTACTTTGATTTGTTCGGCGGATTCTTCGGGATTCTTAAACTGACACTTCGGGTAGTTATGTAATTAATAGTTAGAGGGTTATATTTTCAATATTTGCATCATTGCTACTTGTATTTATTTTGTATTGATTATGGTTGATCACAAAGTAAATTCGAATGCCTTCGTATGATTTTAGACAAAATGATTTATTATATATTTATTTATTAAATTATTATTTTTGTCGAACATATGTTTTATTATGATCGAGCCAGAAATAATCAAAGGTACCAAAATAAATATATTAATTAAGTAGTCGGATTGATGGCATTATTTATCCGATAACTAATTATGCATAGAGGGGTCAAAGTGCAACATTGACTTAGAGGTTATTTATTATTTAATTGGAGTTCAATTAATTTCTTTTAGTGGAGTAGAAATTAATTTATGAATTAATTTAATTGGGTCCATGGACCGGGCCAATCATTAATTCATTGTAGCCAATAAAATAATAGGCCCAATGGATTATCACTCATAGCCCAACTTGATATTGGAATCATATTAGATTTGAGACATGTGAATTAAAGATTGAGAAGGATTATTTGTTTCCTTTTCTTTACTTTTATGTTGCCTATAAATATACATGGTCTATGTATATTTTAGGGGTGATTTTGATGAGAAGAAAATAGGAATAACTTTTCTCTCTCTAGAAAATTAGGGTTTATGTTCTCATCTAATGGAGGCTCCCACAAGCCTAATTTTCCAAGGTCATTCATGGAGGCTTATGAGTGATTCCTAAAGGCAAGACCATTACCAAGAAGATGGAGATCCATGAAAAAAATGTCTAGCAAAAGGGATCTACAATAAGTGAGAACATTCACTTTAGAGGAGAGATTTGAGATTTACTCAAACCTTGATGTAAGTATTCAATCTTTTAGTTGAATGATACATCATATTTTATTTTTGCATAAAACTTGTCTCTATGTGATGAATCAAGATTTATGAATTTAAATCCCTCGAAAAAATTTTAAAACTAGCACGTTTCCTAACACATGGAACAATACTTATCAACTTATGATCCGCTACCTCATTGATATCTACTACAGAGTATATCATTTGTCGGTGATTATATTGAGAAAGATTTTTTTCCGGCATTGAGTTTTAAAATTTTTTTAAAAAAATTGATTCAATTTTAAAAATTGATTCAATTTTTTTAATTACTTTTTTCTAATTCTACCAATTTCAATTTTAAAACTCAAATTCTATATCCATCAAACAAACCGATAGAGTAATCCCAAAGAAATAACATTACTTTTCATTCCTCTCTTTTGATTTCTCATGAATTTCCCAAACTCTTAGAAAATGACCACCTTTTTCCTAAATAACCTCAATTTATGATAACAATCTGTGTATCAATTGGACTACAAACCCTAAAATTAGAATAACATGACATAATAAGAGACTTACTAAGATCACAAAACATTCAAAGAAACAAAAAAGGCATTTTCAGTGTTCTTGGGCACATAGTTTTCCCATCTGAATTACACTGGCTTCTCTGTGTCAAACTCAGAATGGTGGGAAGCACCACCTCAAGTGAAGCTCCGATGAGATATCGCCGCGTGAGGCTATGGCATGTGGTGCAAAGGAGGCATCTAATGTGCCTTTGTGCCAAGAAATTAGCTCCATGCACCCATCTGTCACATTTTCTGCACAAAAACGCGTCATCGGCTTGGCAGTACAATGAGGCCTCAGAACTGCAGAGCTCACAAGACACTGGACCTTCTGTGCCATCAGCTGAATCAACCTCTTTCTTGATCATAGACTGGCCAAAGTCTCTTTGGCTTCCCTCTTCTCCTCCTCCTCCTTTGCACATTCTTAGAAGCAATGAAATGGAAATGTCTAAGAAGTTGGAATGGGCTTGGCCATTTATATAGATATAAAATACTACTAGAATGAATGTAAATTTTACACAAGTTTCATGTGCAAAAAACTCTGACCTGGAATTTCAATATAATGACAGGAATGCCACTACATGACAAATTCTCGTTGTTTTGCTTATGCACGTCTAATCTGATGTAATGGTTGTATATATCTGAATCGGTAAACGCTTATTTCAATTATTTAGAGTTGATTACGTGAATTCGATGAACCATGAAGGTTATATTAGAGATTTAGCAGATGGGAATTTTGATAAACTAATTTTATTGACTAAAGAGATAGAAAAAAAGATGATCAATGGTTGATTAATCCTCAAGCTTTCTAAGATGCTTCAAGGATGGTTATGAACCATGATTTCTCTTGTTGAGTGGTTACCAAGTCAATTTTGGTTACTGAAAAAGAAGGTTGATTGTATGGCCTAGAATTAAAGCCCTTTAGAAGTGACCCCACCAACACTAATAGAGCTCTCTCTACCTGTAGGACAAGTTGAGATGAGGTGTGATTTGACTTTTTGTGCCGTAGCTTTTGATGCCAATTCCTTGGAAATCCACAGAGTTCACGAATGGTACGTGTAGAGCCAGGAATGGTGCAATGTCATTGTTCCACCATACAATTATTTTGCGTTGTCTTTTGAGTCCACATGTGTGGTTGAGAACTTGGGAAGACTCACAGCCTTACGTGTCACTCAATGTGTGCTCTAGAGGTGTGGCAAGTGCAATGCAACTACTGGGACAGTTCAGTTCAATCCGACTTTGAAAATTTGTAGGGTTTGGAATTTGTAGACTTGGACCAAGTCATGGCGGGTATGAAATCTGGTTGAATTTGGGCCGTCCTCTTTGAATGTCGGAACATACATGGGTCCTGGACTAAACATTTTAGGCTCAACCTCATTTTCAGGCTGTGGGTTTAGGCGGACGTCTGAATCTACTCGATGCCACTCAAATTTCACATTGATATTAGGGTAAATTATTGAGGTGATCATTGAGTGTTTCTTGAGATATTTTTTTTCTCCACTCAAATACTTAAGAGCCCTCCACCATCCTTCTCTCTTAATACGAAATTACAAAAAAATCCCCAAACCATCCCACGTTTGGTTTTTGCAATTTCATTCTCATAATTACCCTTTATTATTTGCATAATCTCTCTGTTCTTCTTCTCCAAGTTGTAAAGAGAGAGAGTCCAACTAGATAAGGATATAGACACAAAGAAAGAGAGCAGAGCATGTTCTAAGAGACTGCCAATCGAATCCTGTCGTTGGTCGTGTAGGGAAGAACTAGGTGAAGTAAAGAAATTCTAGCGAGTCAACTCAGATTGCAATCAACCCATTTTCCTATCTTGTTTATAAAAGAAAATCCCAAATTTCAATCTTCCTGCAAAACCAAGACGGTAAAGTCAAACACCGGTGTGGTGCCGGCCGTTGACCCTCCGACGATCAAGTTAGTAGGAGAGAAATAATTTTTTTTTATCGTAAGATCTTTTTGTGTGTACCTTATTCCCGAGTTGTCTTCATATTTATAGTCACTTTCCTTATTCTTGATAAGGGAATTTCATCGTCTTTAGTGCACGGAACTTAACCCGTGGAAATCTTATCCTTGATAAGATTTGAACTTACCCCATGATAAATTTTATCCTTGATACGATTTGTCATCATTCTTATCTAATAGAATGGTTATCCTTGATAAAGAGATATTATCGCTCAAAAGTTGAAGAGGTCTAGCGGTTAGTCAATACTTAATTACCTCTGTCATTAGGTCAAGATAAGTTAGGGTTATTTTTCCCTATCAGTTGCCCCCTATTTCCGGGTACGTTTTGGACCAAGGAAATACTTTCTATATTTTATTTTTTCCTTTTTACTACAAGCTCCTTCCATATTGTAGTAGGACTCATTTACACGAACTTCACTGTTACTTGAAAAAGAATTTTCCTATAAATAAATAAATATATTTATTTATTTACCTCCCTTTTTTTTTTCCCTGAAATCCTTTAAACTGGATCCTAACTGTGAGTTTCTTGTGGATTGTTGTAGACACGTAATTGGGTCAAGTCGTTTCTACCGGGTTATCAGTGTAATTCCATAATGGTTTCGCTATTTTCGCGATATCCAATATCTCATCATGTCCGTGCAGGAAAATAACTTGAATATTGAATCCTAATTTGAAGACTCAACCTCTGAAAGTGTTGAAGAACTTGATCCTGATTATGCTGACGAATCTGGTGTTGATTATTCCTCAAGACCAAGGACTGCTTTTTCCAAGCAACCTCCACGTGAAGGAGAATCTTTAATTAAGGATGAGAATTTAAAGAATTATAGATTCAAATATTCCATTCCTTCATCTATTCACCTTCACAAACCCAAGCCAGAAGATAGATGTTCTTCTATTCGTTTGGGCGAGGTATGCTTTTTCGAGTTGACTTTTGCTGCGGGCTTGCGTTTTCCGATTCATCCATTTGTAGAAGAAATTCTTTCCTATCTGAAGATAGCTCCTTCTCAAATTGCCCCTAATTCCTGGAGAATTATTATAGGCTGTTTGATTGTTTGGGGAAGGTGTGGCAATGGTCGTCTAACCATAAATCAATTCTTAGATTTTTATTATCCCAAGAAGAAAAATGATAACTTTTAGTACTTTCAGTGTCGATCAAGGAAGATATTCCTCCTTGTTGCAGCTCCTGAAAATAATAAAGATTGGAAGAGCCGTTTCTTTTTTATTTCCGGTGCATACGAGAAATTTCCTAGTGTTTGGAGTAATTCAGACCTTGCAGGTATGATATATAACAATGTATATATATGTTTTCTTTTCTTTTCTTTTCTTTTTTTCTTTTTTTTCTCTCTCTTTTTTTTTTCCCCCCCTAAACAGTGAACAGTACCCGCGGGTATACTATTCACAACTCACATATATATATATATATATATTTTAACCTGTGAACAGTACCCGCTGGTATTATTCATGTGAATAGTACTCACAATTTTTTTTAAAAAAAAACTGCAAACAGTACCCGCAGGCACTATTCCCCGCGGGTACTATTCATGTGAATAGTACTCACAAGAGAATTGCGACTTACAATTCCGTTTTCCAGACTTTAAGGCGAAACCAGCTATCTCAGCCCAAGAAAAAGAATATGTTGGTAACGCCCTTGCACACCCAGTGAAGACCTTTAGTGATCTTATGACGGAGGAAGCTCTAGAATTGTATGTACGACCTACTAGCTCAACTGAATCCCTTACCCATTAAGAGAAAGGTAAGAAAAACAAAGGTACTTATACGTAAACTTACTAATTTTAGTTAATATGTTATTAAATATTTTCCCTACTACTCTTTATGTAGGCCAGAAACTCAGTAAAAGGCTCCTAGCCCAAGTCCGGTCAAGTAATCTTCCCTCTACTCCTGCTTCCAAGAAATTACGAAGGGTAGGAGAGCAAAATCACGGTAGATCTTCAAACCCTGGTGTGTTACCAGGTCTCACTCCTATATCTTTAGGTTTCAGTGGATTTGGCGGGGTTCCTACGAGTTTCGAGAGTTTTAGTTTGGTATCAACCAACCAGGCATTTTCCCAAAGGGAGTCGATTCTTGATAACGCTAGTGTCACGTATGATAGGCTACATAAAATGGTAGTAAAAGACGACACTGCCAGATTGCAGAACCTGCCAGCATCTGAGCTTTCAAGGAAATTTCTTCATCTAATTAGCCAGGTGAGATTTTACCCTTATCATGTGCATCTCTTTCTTTTTCAACTATTTGCCACTATTTATTTATTTATGTATTGATTTATAGGGCACTACATACTCTGTTGTTATTGCAAAAGAATATGAAAAGCTTTCCCTAGAGATGGCTTCCCTCAAGGCTAAATACGAAGATGTTACTTCTATGCTTAAAAATAAAGAAGATGACTTGGCTAATGCGAATTTAAACTTTCAAGATGAGAAAGTGAGACTTACCAAAGAATACTTCGATAAGCTGGAACTTGAGAAGTTAGCTGCCGTGGAGAGCTTTAAAAATTCTAACGAGTTCAAGGTGCTCATAGCCAAGGCTTGTTGTGATGGTTTTGACCAGTTCAAAGCTCTTGTCAGCAAAGATCGTCCAGACATAGATTTTTCTATATATGATATTCTGGCGGAGAGTGAAGAGAAAGATTGAACTCCATAGTAACACTAATATATATATATATATATATATATATATATATATATATATATATATTAGTGTTTTTTTTTTTAGCATGTTGATCCCTTAGAACTGTTCAGAATATCTTTCAACTCAGATAATAGTTGCTCTTCTTTTGACATCTCTTAACTCAGAGAATAGTTGCTTTTCTTTTGACATTTTGTCTTTGATGATATTGCTTCATACTCGTTACTTCCGTATGCAGAATTTCTTTTACTTTTTCAAGCTTCACTCAGCCTGTCCTTCTTCTGAAGGAATGTCTTTTTACGAGCTTCACCCAGCTCGTCCTTTTAGTAAGGGAATATTTCTTTTAATAAAGAAATTGACTTAATGCTTTACTAGTCCTTTCGTGACTTATTAAATTCAGTAATAACGTAATCAACAATAGAAACACGTGAAATAAATACGAATTTTATTAAAGACTTATCGAAAACAATATTCGATAGTCCAGCATCAACATCCATTAAACATTGGTCTGCTTTATTGAAGTTAAAAACATATTATCACTTTTAAAAGTGAGATAATAAGACATAACCTGTACCTACTAGTAATATTTCCTCAAATGTTCTGCATTCCATGGGTGGAGAAGTTGGCTCCCACCAAGTGTCTCTAACCAATATGCCCCCGGTCTGTTGCACTGGGTTACTCGATAGAGGCCCTCCCAGTTGGGAGCTAATCCCTTCCCCCTTCACCATAGTAGCCGGGGTAACCTCGCGAAGCACTAGGTCCCCTGGCTCGAACCTCCTTAGCTTGACCCGGGCATTGTAGTACTTGGATACCATCCGTTGGTAAGCTGCAACCTTGATTTGGGTCTGCTCTCTTTTTTCTTCTATCAAGTCCAAGTTTAACCGTAGTTCCATCTCGTTCTGTTGAGGTTCAAAATACTTGGTTCTGAAGGTAACAACCTTTGTTTCTACCGGGATCACAGCTTCACTTTCAAAAGCTAACCCAAAAGGGGTCTCCCCAGTGGGGGTTCTTACGGTAGTATGATAAGCCCATAAAACTCCGGGTAGTTGTTCAGGCCACAAGCCCTTGGCCTTTTCTAGGCGTGTCTTGATCATCTTTAGTATTGTCCTATTTGTGACCTCAACTTGCCCATTGGCTTGGGGATGGGCAGGAGAAGAGAAATGAACTTTGACCCCAAGTTCATTACAAAAATCAAGGAACTGCTCACTTTCAAACTGCTTCCCATTATTGGTCACAATTACCCTTGGTGCTCCGAACCTGCAGATTATTGTCTTTTAGAAAAAAAAATTTATTTCATTCGCTCCAATATGAGCTAACGGCTCATCCTCCACCCATTTGGTGAAATAATCAATAGCCACAATTGCGTATTTAGTTTGTCCCTTTCCTTGGGGTAAGGGGCCAATGAGGTCCATCCCCCATTGGGCAAAAGGCCACGGCCCTGTAAGAGGGGTTAACACTTCTGCTGGTCGTTTCGGGACATTAGCGAATCTGTGGCACTTGTCACATTTCTTCACAAACTCAAGCGCATCTTTCCTCATAGTAGGCCAAAAGTATCCTTGTCGAATAGCTTTATGCGCTAGTGATCTGCCCCCAGCATGGTTTCCACAAAGGCCTTCATGTATATCCTTTAGAATGTAATTCGCCTCATCTATGGAGACACAACGCAAGTAGGGTAGAGAAAATCCCTTCTTGTAGAGAACCCCTGCAATGAGGCAATATTTTGTTGCACGCATCCTGAACTTTCGTGCTTCCATGCGATCCTGGGGTAGCTCTTCGTTCTTTATGTACCTGATAATGGGTTCTGCCCATTCCATACCTTGGATTACCTGGTGTATTTTCTGTGGCCAATCCCGAACTATGCTAGGCTCATCCAAATGTTCCACAGGTATAGCTTTATCCTCCACTGCTGCGGTTGCTAGTCGGGCTAAGGGATCTACTTGACCATTATCTTCTCGGGGAATCTGATGAATGGAAAATTTCTTAAAGAAGCCTTTAATATCTTCTATCTTATGTAGATAGGTCTTCATCTTCTCATCCTTTGCTTCATATTCCCATTGAACTTGTCCAGTTATTAGTTGAGAATCAGTATACGCTATCAGTCGCTCAACTTCTAGGGCTTTAGCCATCCTGAGGCCTGCCAGGAGGGCCTCATATTCTGCCTCATTGTTGGTTGCTTTAAACCCAAACCTGAGGACGTATTTGATGCATTCCCCCTCTAGGGAAACAAGTACTAGCTCCGCCCCACTTGCACGGGCGTCGACTGATCCATCCACATATAATGTCCAAGTAGATTTAGTTTCTTCTTGTTCATCTACGCCGTGCTCGTACCTATCTTCTGGTGTGAATTCTACTATAACATCTGCCAGTACCTGAGCTTTTAAGGCCGTTCTGGGTTTGTATTGGATATCAAACTCTCTAAGTTCTACTGACCACTTCATGAGTCGTCCCGAAGTATCAGGTTTGCGGAAGACTTGCCTAAGTGGCTAGTCTGTCAATACTATTATGGTATGTGCTTGGAAGTAAGGCCTGAGTTTCCTTGCAGAGACAACTAGGGCAAGGGCTAACTTTTCTATCCTTGGGTACCTCTCTTCTGCCCCTCTGAATGCACGGCTAGTATAATATACTGGCTTCTGGATTCCATCCTCTTCGTGGACTAATGCTGAACTTACTGCCGATGGAGAAACCGCCAAGTACAAATACAATTGTTCTCCTTGCATTACCCGTGATAGTAACAGTGGTGAAGTGAGATACTCCTTCAGTTCGGTAAAAGCTTGCTCACACTCAGGTTTCCATGAAAAAGCTTTCCTGAGCACACGAAAAAAAGGCAGGCATCTATCCGTTGCCCTAGAAATCAACCTGGTCGGAGCGACGATTCTTCCTGTCAATCTTTGAAGTTCCTTAGTCGATGCTGGAGACCGCATGTTGAGAATTGCCTGAATTTTCTCAGGGCTGGCCTCTATCCCTCTCCTGCTTACCATGTAACCAAGGAATTTCCCTGAGGAGACACCAAAGGCACATTTGTTTGGGTTGAGTTTCATTTGGTGTTTCCTGAGGACTTGGAATGTCTCCTGTAGATTAGCTAGGTGGTCTTGAGCTCTCAAGCTTTTTACCAGCATGTCATCCACATATACCTCCATATTCCTTCCAATTTGATTCTTGAACATCAAGTTGACTAGCCGCTGGTATGTTGCACTAGCATTTTTATGCCGAAAAGGTATCCCTTGTAGCAATAAAAACCTCTGTCCGTGACAAAAGAAGTCTTTTCTCTATCTGGTGGATGTATTAAGATTTGGTTACATCCCGAATATGCATCCATGAAACTGAGCAACTCATGGCCAGCCGTTCCTTTTACTGACATGTCGATTCTTGGCAAAGGGAAGCTATCTTTGGGGCACGCCTTATTTAAATCGGTAAAGTCTACGCACAACCTCCATTTTTCATTGGCCTTTTTTACCAAAACAACATTGGCCAACCAGTCGGGATAATTGACCTCTTGAATGAAATCAGCTTTCAGAAGCTTGTTCACCTCTTCTGATATAGCCATGTTCCTCTCTACGGCAAATGTTCTTCGTTTTTGCTTGATAGGTTTGACTGTGGGATCCGTGTTTAATCGATGCTTGATCGTAGCTGGATCAATACCAGACATGTCTTCATGTGACCATGCGAACACATCTTGATTCTGTCTGAGGAACTGTACTAGAGTATTCATGAAGTTTAAGGGGAGTAGAGACCCTATCTTCACCTTTTTTGTTACGTCATTGTCATTTAAGCATATCTCCACCAGGTCCTCAATTGACTTTGCTCAATCTCGCTCTTGTTCTTCAATTTCTTCGACAACCAAAGACGCAACATAGTATTCTCTGGCAGTGGTCTGATCTCCTCTTAGTTCGCCTATGCCCTACTCTGTAGGGAAACGCATCAAGAGGTGATAAGTCGAAGTGATTGCCCTCATCGAGTTTAAGGTAGTTCTTCCTAGGATAACATTGTAAGCAGATGGGCAATCCACCACCAGGAAGTCTACCATAACAGTAACTTGTTTCGGGCTGGTTCCTGCAGTGATAGGAAGAATGACCGCTCCCAAAGGGTAGACCTTATCTCCCGTGAATCCCACTAATGGTGATCTAGTAGGTCTGAGTTTCTCCTTACCAATATTCATTTTGCTGAATGCATCAAGGAAAATGATATCAGCCGAACTTCCATTATCGACCAAGATCCGTCGAGTAGTATAATTAGCGATCATCATGGTGACAACGAGAGGTCGTCATGGGGTTGTCGCACGTCCTTAATATCTTCATCTGAGAATGTGATAACAGGATCACCTAGACGTGGCATTTTTCGGTGTGGATTCTGTATTCCAACTTCGCAAACTTCAGATGAGTTTCGCATTCTCCTGGCATAGGCCTTACGGGCTGAGCTTGATTCTCCACCACCTGCACATCCCCCAGCTATGAACTTGATTTCTCCCATTGGTTGTTGATCACGGAGGCGGTTATCTCGGCCTGCTCTTGGTAGATTAACGTCGGTTCTGTCATTCCCCATAATAAATTTTCCCATATGCCCCCTTCGGATCAAAGCCTCAATCTGATCCTTGAGGTCGAAGCAATCCTCTGTGGCGTGCCCATGGTCTTTATGGAACCTACAATACTTATCACGAGGTCTCCTCGCCGGGTCTGACTTCAATTTTGGTGGCCACTTCAGATATGGTTCATCCTGGATCTGCAGAAAAACTTAATCTATTGGCATATTTAAAGGAGTGTAATTTGTATATCTCTTCACGCTCTTATAGCGAGACGCCCTTTCATTCTGGTTGATCATAGGTTTCTTATACTTGGTTTTCTTTTCATCTTTGGTTATCAGAGCCGGCCTTTTCTTGTCTGCCTTCTTATCATCCCCTTCTTTCCCCTTTCTTGCCATCATTGCATCTTCATCATTCATATGTTTTTTAGCTCGAACCAGTAGCTCGGCCATGTTGGTAGGGGGTTCTTCTGATAAAGAGAAGAGAAATCTCGAGGTTTGGAGTCCTCCCATAAAGGCGGCTAAAGCCACATTGTCATCCGCTTCCTCCACCTGCAACATTTCCGTATTGAAACGACTAATGTAGTCTTGCAGTGACTCTCCTTTCTGCTGCTTTACAGTAAGAAGGTAGGTAGCCGACCTTCTATGCTTCTGGCCAGCAATGAAGTGTCCCACAAAATGCTTACTCAATTCTTCAAAGGTTTCGATGGTCCCTGGCTTTAGCTTGTTAAACCACACTCGTATTGATCCTTTGAGAGTTGTTGGGAAAGCCCTGCACATGATCTCATCTGGCATCACGTACAAATGCATTAGCGCTTGAAAAGTCTCCAAATGGTCGATGGGATCTTTAGTTCCGTCGAAACTCTCGATTGAGGGCATTTTAAATTTACTCGGCAAGGGGCATTTCATAACCGAGGGTCTGAACGGCAAGTTGGTCTTCTGCACCAAACTATCTATGGCTGCAGTATCCTTTCCCTTTATGGCCTGTATCACATCCTCCATCTTTGCCTTGAGATCTTGTCGCTCTGGGTCAACGTGGGAAATCTCCTCTGTCTTTTCAACGACAGTTGTGTTTTCATGAGGTCGAGAACTCTGTGGAAGAGATGGGTGGATCACTTCTCTATGTCGGTTCCCTACCTGGCTTTGTTCCACTTCGGTCTCATGTCGAGGAGGATGATTATTTAGCCCTTCAGGATCCCATTACCTCTATTTGGGTTCGAGAGATTTTGTCGTGGCAAGTTCTGTTGAACCGGTGGAACAAGGTGTTACAGGATTGCTGCATTTTGCTGGATCAACTGGTCCATACCCTGATTAAGAGTTTGGACATGTTGTTCCAACGCTGCAAGTCGCTCCTGGTCATTTGGGATGTCTAGGTTTTCACCCGACTCTTCCCTTTGACCAGATCCCTATAACGATGTTCCTTCGGTGACCATACCGGATCGCAAACGTATCTACCCAACTGAGTATTAATATAAGGGAATTGTCGTTCCCACAGACAGGCCAACTGTTGAGGCTGAAATTCGCCGCGACCTGGTACGACACCGTTTCCTGCAAAACTAAGACGGTAAAGTCAAACACCGGTGTGGTGTCGGCCGTTGACCCTCCGACGATCAAGTTAGTAGGAGAGAAATAATTTTTTTTATCGTAATTTCTCTAGTAGGAGATCTTTTTGTGTGTACCTTATTCCCGAGTTGTCTTCATATTTATAGTCACTTCCCTTATTCTTGATAAGGGAATTTCATTGTCTTTAGTCCACGGAACTTATCCCGTGGAAATCTTATCCTTGATAAGATTTGAACTTACCCCATGACAAATCTTATCCTTGATACGATTTGTCATCATTCTTATCTAATAGAATGGTTATCCTTGATAACGAGATATTATCGCTCGAAAGTTGAAGAGGTCTGGCGGCTAGTCAATACTTAATTACCTCTGTCAATAGGTCAAGATAGGTTAAGGTTATTTTTCCCTATCATCATCAAAAGAATTTAAAAATCGAGCATCCAAAATTAGATTCATTGGATGCATAATAACATACATGATACATCTAACATACCACTTTTTTTTTTTTTTTTTTCTTTTTTTTTTTTTTTTTTTTTTTTTGAGGATATTCTCATGCATATGGCCCCAACAAATATTGAACACAATTGAAAACATAAAAGGTTAAATGCATTGTTTACCGTATCGTTCTATACTTGCAATTTTTTTTCAAGTCTGATACGCGATCTGTATCGATCAATTTATACTGACTTTGTTCGAGTTCGTTACACCACGATCGTAACCAATACTATAAATCATGATTAAAACCTTGTAAAATACATTTGTTCCACTATCCCAAAAATAATATAATCTTAGACAATCCACTGATTTAAACCCTATACCGAAAAAATAACCTCGTCATTCAATAAGAGACTTCACAAAATTTTTGAAATCTGAGAGACAAAGAGAGATGGCTATGGCTCTCTCTCTCTATATATATATAAGGAGATGTGGTGTTATAGGGATGTTGTGTTGTAGCTAAAGGGGGGGGAGAACGTGTAAGAGAAGATGAAAGAAACCCATTAATGATTTTTTCTTTTCTTTTGTAAGTAAAAATGAAATAATGAAATTTGAATGAATAAATAAATAAATAAAGATTTTTGATTGAACATTTCTGAAGTTGTTTTAGAAACAAAATTTTGAATGCCATTCATATTAGAATAAAAAAATGCAATTTTCTCATATTGAGCTCGTCTATGGAGACCGATGGGAAAGTTAAACTTGATACATAGTGATAGGGAAAAATAACCCTAACCTATCTTAACCTAATGACAGAGGTAATTAAGTATTGACTAGCTGCCAGACCTCTTCAACTTTCGAGCGATAATATCTCGTTATCAAGAATGATGACAAATCGTATCAAGGATAAGATTTGTTATGGGGTCAGTTCAAATCTTATCAAGGATAAGATTTCCACGGGGATAAGTTCCGTGGACTAAGGACGATGAAATTCCCTTATCAAGAATAAGGGAAGTGACTATAAATATGAAGACAACTCGGGAATAAGGTACACACAAAAAGATCTCCTACTAGGGAAGTTACGATAAAAAAAATTATTTCTCTCCTACTAACTTGATCGTCGGAGGGTCAACGGCCGGCATCACGCCGATGTTTGACTTTACTGTCTTGGTTTTGCAGGAAATGGTGTCGTACCAAGTTGCGGCGAATTTCAGACTCAACAGTTGGCACCGTCTGTGGGAATGACAATTCTTTTATATTAATACTCAGTTGGGTAGATACGTTTGCGATCCGGTATGGTCACCGAAGGAACATCGTTACAGGGATCTTGTCAAAGGGAAGAGTCAGATGAAAACCTAGACATCCCAAATGACTAGGAGCGGCTTGCAGCGTTAGAACAACAGGTCCAAACTCTGAATCAGGGTATGGACCAGTTGATCCAGCAAAATGCAGCAATCCTGCAACACCTTGTTCCACCGGTTCAACAGAACTTGCCACGACAAGATCTCTCGAACCCGAATAGAGGTAATGGGAATCCTGAAGGGTAGGATAATCATCCTCCTCGACATGAGACCGAAGTGGAACAAAGCCAGGTAGGAAACCGACATAGAGAAGTGATCCACCCATCTCTTCCACAAAGTTCCCGACCTCATGAAAACACAACTGTCGTTGAAAAGACAGAGGAGATTTCCCACGTTGACCCAGAGATACAAGATCTCAAGGCAAAGATGGAGGATGTGATGCAAGTCATAAAGGGAAAAGATATTGCAGCCATAGATAGTTTGGTGCAGAAGACCAACTTACCGTTCAGCCCCTCGGTTATGAAATGCCCATTGCCGAGCAAATTTAGAATGCCCTCAATTGAAAGTTTCGACAGAACTAAAGATCCCATCGACCACTTGGAGACTTTTCAAGCGCTAATGCATTTGCACGTGATGCCAGATGAGAGCATATGCAGGGCTTTCCCAACAACTCTCAAAGGATCAGTACGAGTGTGGTTTAACAAGCTAAAGCCAGGGACCATCGAAACCTTTAAAGAATTGAATAAGCATTTTGTGGGACACTTCATTGCTGGCCAGAAGCATAGAAGGTCGGCTACCTACCTTCTTACTATAAAGCAGCAGAAAGGAGAGTCACTGCGAGACTACATTGGTCGTTTCAATACGAAAATGTTGCAGGTGGAGGAAGCGGATGACAAGGTGGCTTTAGCCGCCTTTATGGGAGGACTCCAAACCTCGAGATTTCTCTTCTCTTTATCAGAAGAACCCCCTACCAGCATGGCCGAGTTACTGGTTCGAGCTAAAAAACATATGAATGCTGAAGATGCAATGATGGCAAGAAAGGGGAAAGAAGGGGATGATAAGAAGGCAGACAAGAAAAGGCCAGCTCTGATAACCAAAGATGAAAAGGAAACCAAGTATAAGAAACCTATGATCAACCAGAATGAAAGGGCATCTCGCTATAAGAGCGTGGAGAGATATACAAATTACACTCCTTTAAATATGCCAATAGATCAAGTTTTTCTGCAGATCCAGGATGAACCATATCTGAAGTGGCCACCAAAATTGAAGTCAGACCCGGCGAGGAGACCTCGTGATAAGTACTGTAGGTTCCATAAAGACCATGGGCACGCCACAGAGGATTGCTTCGACCTCAAGGATCAGATTGAGACTTTGATCCGAATGGGACATATGCGAAAATTTATTATGGGGAATGACAGAACCGACGTTAATCTACCAAAAGCAGGCCGAGATAACCGCCTCCGTGATCAACAACCAATGGGAGAAATCAGGGTCATAGCTGGGGGATGTGCAGGTGGTGGAGAATTAAGCTCAGCCCGTAAGGCCTATGCCAGGAGAATGCGAAACTCATCTGAAGTTTGCGAAGTTGGAATACAGAATCCACACCGAAAAATGCCACGTCTAGGTGATCCTGTTATCACATTCTCAGATGAAGATATTAAGGACGTGCAACAACCCCATAACGACCTCTCGTTGTCACCATGATGATCGCTAATTATACTACTCGACGGATCTTGGTCGATAATGGAAGTTCGGCTGATATCATTTTCCTTGATGCATTCAGCAAAATGAATATTGGTAAGGAGAAACTCAGACCTACTAGATCACCATTAGTGGGATTCACGGGAGATAAGGTCTACCTTTTGGGAGCGGTCATTCTTCCTATCACTGCAGGAACCAGCCCGAAACAAGTTACTGTTATGGTAGACTTCCTGGTGGTGGATTGCCCATCTGCTTACAATGTTATCCTAGGAAGAACTACCTTAAACTCGATGAGGGCAATCACTTCGACTTATCACCTCTTGATGCGTTTCCCTACAGAGTAGGGCATAGGCGAACTAAGAGGAGATCAGACCACTGCCAGAGAATGCTATGTTGCGTCTCTGAGAGAAAAGAAGCAGCAAAAGGCTTTGGTTGTCAAAGAAATTGAAGAATAGGAGCGAGATCGAGCCAAGTCAATTGAGGACCTGGTGGAGATATGCTTAAATGACAATGACATAACAAAAAAAGTGAAGATAGGGTCTTTACTCCCCTTAGACTTTATGAATACTCTTGTACAGTTCCTCAAAAAGAATCAAGATGTGTTCGAATGGTCACATGAAGACATGTCTGGTATTGATCCAGCTACGATCGAGCATCGATTAAACACGGATCCCACAGTCAAACCTATCAGGCAAAAACGAAGAACATTTGCCGCGGAGAGGAACATGGCTATATCAGAAGAGGTGAACAAGCTTCTGAAAGCTGATTTCATTCAAGAGGTCAATTATCCCGACTGGTTGGCCAATGTTGTTTTGGTAAAAAAGGCCAATGGAAAATGGAGGTTGTGCGTAGACTTTACCGATTTAAATAAGGCGTGCCCCAAAGATAACTTCCCTCTGCTAAGAATCGACATGTTAGTAGAAGGAACGGCTGGCCATGAGTTGCTCAGTTTCATGGATGCATATTCGGGATGTAACCAAATCTTAATGCATCCACCAGATAGAGAAAAAACCTCTTTTGTCACGGACAGAGGTTTGTATTGCTACAAGGTGATGCCTTTTCGGCTTAAAAATACTGGTGCAACATACTAGCGGCTAATCAACTTGATGTTTAAGAATCAAATCGGAAGGAATATGGAGCTATATGTGGATGACATGCTGGTAAAAAGCTTGAAAGCTCAAGACCACCTAGCTGATCTACAGTAGACATTCCAAGTCCTCAGGAAACACCAAATGAAACTCAACCCAGACAAATGTGCCTTTGGTGTCTCCTCAGGAAAATTCCTTAGTTACATGGTAAGCAGGAGAGGGATAGAGGCCAACCCCGAGAAAATCCAGGAAATTCTCAACATACGGTCTCTAGCATCAACTAAAGAACTTCAAAGATTGACAGGAAGAATCGTCGCTCTGAACAGGTTGATTTCCAGGGCAACGGATAGATGCTTGCCTTTTTTTCGTGTGCTCAGGAAAGCTTTTTCATGGACACCTGAGTGTGAGCAAGCTTTTACAAAACTGAAGGAGTATCTCACTTCACCACCGTTACTATCACAGGCAATGCAAGGAAAGCAGTTGTATTTGTACTTGGCGGTTTCTCCATCGGCAGTAAGTTCAGCCTTAGTCCGCGAAGAGGATGGAATCCAGAAGCTAGTATATTATACTAGCCGTGCATTCAGAGGGGTAGAAGAGAGGTACCCAAGGATAGAAAAGTTGGCCCTTGCCCTAGTTGTCTCTGCAAGGAAACTCAGACCTTACTTCCAAGCACATACCATAATAGTATTGACAGACCAGCCACTTAGGCAAGTCCTCCGCAAACCTGATACTTCGGGGCGACTCATGAAGTGGTCAGTAGAACTTAGAGAGTTTGATATCCAATACAAACCCAGAACGGCCTTAAAAGCTCAGGTATTGACAGATGTTATAGTAGAATTCACACCAGAAGATAAGCACGAGCACGGCGTAGATGAAAAACTGCCCCAAAATGAAAATATCTTCCAAAAGATATTTTCTTAGATACCCCTGAAATAAAATATCTTCAAAAGATATTTATAAAAAATACCCCAAGAAAAGAAAAAGTTTCCAAAGAACTTTGCATTTATGCCCCTATGGACACCGGGAGCAACCAGAGTACTTTCTCACGAAAGTAAAGATACTTATCTCATGAAAATCATTGGGAATGAAGATATGTGAAATCAGAATCCAACTCCGAACACAAGAAGTGTGGTTACGCAAACAGAGTGATAAATGAGGAAAAGACGGAATATAGAAAAAGACAAAAAGTAAATAGTGTCGAAAAAAGAAAAATGTGGAAATGACTCGGTCCTCAAAGGAAGTTGTCAATCCATAGAAAAGAGTCTCAGAAATCACTCCAGAGCACTCGAGACGACATTAATCGACAAGAAACCAAACTCAGAAGGGAAAAGACAACGGAAAAAATTTATCCGAAAAATCCGGGTCATTACATACCCCAGGATCGCATGGAAGCACGAAAGATCAGGATGCGTGCGGTAAAATATTGCCTCATTGAAGGGGTTCTCTACAAGAAGGGATTTTCTCTACCCTACTTGCGTTGTGTCTCCATAGATGAGGCGAATTACATTCTAAAGGATATACATGAAGGCCTTTGTGGAAACCATGCTGGGGGCAGATCACTAGCGCATAAAGCTATCCGACAAGGATACTTTTGGCCTACTATGAGGAAAGATGCGCTTGAGTTTGTGAAGAAATGTGACAAGTGCCAAAGATTCGCCAATGTCCCGAAACGACCAGTAGAAGTGTTAACCCCTCTTACAGGGCCGTGGCCTTTTGCCCAATGGGGGACGGACCTCATTGGCCCCTTACCCCAAAGGAAGGGACAAACTAAATACGTAATTGTGGCTATTGATTATTTCACCAAATGGGTGGCGGTAGAGCCGTTAGCTCATATTGGAGCGAATGAAGTAAAAAAGTTTTTCTGGAAGACAATAATTTGCAGGTTCGGAGCACCAAGGGTAATTGTGACCGATAATGGGAAGCAGTTTGAAAGTGAGTAGTTCCTTGATTTTTGTAATGAACTTGGGGTCAAAGTTTATTTCTCTTCTCCTGCTCATCCCCAAGCCAATGGGCAAGTTGAGGTCACGAATAGGACAATACTAAAGATGATCAAGACGCGCCTAGAAAAGGCCAAGGGCTTGTGGCCTGAACAACTACCCGGAGTTTTATCGGCTTATCGCACTACCGTAAGAACCCCCACTGGGGAGACCCCTTTTGGGTTAGCTTTTGGAAGTGAAGCTGTGATCCCGGTAGAAACAAAGGTTGTTACCTTCAAAACCAAGTATTTTGAACCTCAACAGAACGAGATGGAACTACAGTTAAACTTGGACTTGATAGAAGAAAAAAGAGAGTAGACCCAAATCAAGGTTGCAGCTTACCAATGGATGGTATCCAAGTACTACAGCGCCCGGGTCAAGCTAAGGAGGTTCGAGCCAGGGGACCTGGTGCTTCGCGAGATTACCCCGGCTACTATGGTGAAGGGGGAAAGAAAGTTAGCTCCCAACTGGGAGGGCCTCTATCGAGTAACCCAATGCAATAGACCGGGGGCATATTGGTTAGAGACACTTGGTGGGAGCCAACTTCTCCACCCATGGAATGCAGAACATTTGAGGAAATATTATCAATAGGTACAGGCTATATTTTATTATCTTACTTTTAAAAGTGATAGTATGTTTTTAGCTTCAATAAAGCAGACCAATGTTTAATGGATGCTGATGCTGGACTATCGAATATTGTTTTCGATAAGTCTTTAATAAAATTCGTATTTATTTCACGTGTTTCTACTGCTGATTACATTATTACTGAATTTAATAAGTCACGAGAGGACTAGTAAAGCATTAAGTCCATTTCTTTATTAAAAGAAATATTCCCTTACTAAAGGGACGAGCTGGGTGAAGCTCATAAAAAGACATTCCTTCAGAAGAAGGACAGGCTGAGTGAAGCCTGAAAAAGTAAAAGAAATTCTGCATACGGAAGTAACAAGTATGAAGCAATATCATGAAAGACAAAATGTCAAAAGAAAAACAACTATTCTATAAGTTAAGAGATGTCAAAAGAAGAACAACTATTATCTGAGTTGAAAGATATTCTGAACAGTTCTAAGGGATCGACATGTTAAAAAAAAAAAAACACTAATATATATATATATATATATATATATATATATATATATATATATATATATAATTGTTACTATGGAGTTCAATCTTTCTCTTCACTCTCCGCCAGAATATCATACATAGAAAAATCTATGTCTGGACGATCTTTGCTGACAAGAGCTTTGAACTGGTCAAAACCATCACAACAAGCCTTGGCTATGAGCACCTTGAACTCGTTAGAATTTTTAAAGCTCTCCACGGCAGCTAACTTCTCAAGTTCCAGCTTATCGAAGTATTCTTTGGTAAGTCTCACTTTCTCATCTTGAAAGTTTAAATTCGCATTAGCCAAGTCATCTTCTTTATTTTTAAGCATAGAAGTAACATCTTCGTATTTAGCCTTGAGGGAAGCCATCTCTAGGGAAAGCTTTTCATATTTTTTTGCAATAACAACAGAGTATGTAGTGCCCTATAAATCAATACATAAATAAATAAATAGTGGCAAATAGTTGAAAAAGAAAGAGATGCACATGATAAGGGTAAAATCTCACCTGGCTAATTAGATGAAGAAATTTCCTTGAAAGCTCAGATGTTGGCAGGTTCTGCAATCTGGTAGCGTCGTCTTTTACAACCATTTTATGTAGCCTATCATACGCGACATTAGCGTTATCGAGAATCGACTCCCTTTGGGAAAATGCCTGGTTGGTTGATACCAAACTAAAACTCTCGAAACTCGTAGGAACCCCGCCAAATCCACTGAAACCTAGAGATATAGGAGTGGGACCTGGTAACACAGAAGATCTACCATGATTTTGCTCTCATACCCTTCATAATTTCTTGGAAGCAGGAGTAGAGGGAAGATTACTTGACCGGACTTGGG